CATTGCCATGTTTGAGGAAATAACCCAAAAGGAAGAGAAAAAAAAAGCATGTACATTTCTTTCTACCACATATCTTACTTTTTGTAGCTCTTTTCAGTGTAAAAGCTAACGTTCAATTATGTTTTGGGACGGGAATAAATATAAGCACACAATGGTAAAGTTTCTTTTTTCCTATCGGATTTGAAAGTAGTGTTAAAAAGCTAATGTAAAAAAAGAAATGTTAGCAACAGCGAAAAAAGAACAGCAGGAATATTTCCAAGATGCAAAATGATGAGGGTTGATATCATTATTGGCTCAAGTGAGCAATGAAATAAGTAAATAAGAAATCCGAACTGCAAAAAACGATGAACATAAATCGTTAATGATTTATTAAAAAGTACCGTTCCGTGGCTAACCTGCAAATGAAGATCCACTTCGATAGTATATTTAAAAGAAAAAGAATTCTCTTTGATATCAGCAGATAATAGAAACGAAGTATTACGTCGGGGAGACAGGAATGTTAGACTGCTAGATGCTTATTTTGTACATAGTTTTTGTGTTAATTTCAGTATATAATGGTGTCGGAACGACATAAAGATTTAAATCAGAGTTGTGTTATGTCGGCAGAAGTATTTTGGAAATGCTAAGTTGTAGTGTGCACCAACAGTGTCATACTTTATTAGCCTTCCTATTATTACTTTGTCATTAAAATTGTATTTGTCTTGCGAACTGGCCTGAAAAAGTGTGTCCATTGCAATTACATCGAGTTGGGATTTTGGCCTCGTGCCATTAATGCAAACGTAGCAGCACAGCGAACAGTGACTGTCTCCTAGAACAACCGCAATGTAGATGGAAGTGTAGCTTGCAAAAAAGGTCTCAAATACGACAAATACAGATAGCACCACAAAAGCAGAAGCAAGTAAACTCTGGCGTTGTTATTGTTAGAATTACCTCTTTTCCCCCGCCAAATAAATAGACGAGGTATCCTCAGACTTTTTTTGCCACCTATTTCGGCTTTTGATCTGTCTCTATTCAAGCTAATGATATTTCCCCTGTTCGCTAAGTCCTAAACACGTCGACATAATTTGCAATAAGCCATTAAAGAAATCAGATATTTGCCGCCTTAAGAGATATTCTCAAATTTGAACATTTTTATCGTAATTTTACTGGTTGTATTTCACGTTTTTACATAATTTTTTTTACAATAAAACTTGGATAAAGTAACATGAAAATATTTTGCATACAGCAAAATATCTAATAACCCAAGTTTTTTTTCTTATTCTTTGTCAATTACAATGATAATAATACAGTTATTATATGAACAAAAACCAAAGTTTATTTTGAGAAAATCTACAAGTTGTCAGGAAGTTACGCAGTCTTTTTCTGTTTGCATTCATTTGCTTTCCATTAAACATTAGCCGCCAAATAAAAGCTTCGTGTGTTCTTGTAACTGACACTTCATACATCATTGTCAAAGATCTTAACTGTCAGTCAGTAAAACTCAACTCAGTACATTTACAAATATATTACACTACAGTCTTTTTCCCACTCCTTCTCACACGTAAGTTTTCTTTACAACTACACAGCGTGTTGTTTTTTATACTGACATTTTGTAGATGCTTAAGAGAGTAAATGTGACCAAATACAACTGTGTCAGAATAAAACAACAACGATACATAAATAGACTGCTTCATGACTTTTCATCTGGTATGAATATTATCACTATTTCAATGTCACCGCGGGCTTTGCTACATTAATTTTAAACTACACACAATTAAACTGAGTTGAATGTACACAGACAAATACTTGTTAATTATCGATCCATGAAATTAAGTTAAAATACAATGGTAATGAACAGTTTCATTATTTAAAAGGTTTATAAAAGATTACGGTTGCATTGAACTTTTTAGTTATCCCTTATCAACTAGAAATTGTTATTAATGGATTTGACTATTGTTTTAAATAGTAAAACTATCTTCATTATTTTTAGTTTTACTTAACAATTCCTGAATTTTCATGATTTAAGCAGGAAAAATCCACTTAAGAAAGAAAGGAATCCATGAATATTTAGATACAACATATGTGTAAGATTGTTGTTATTATTATTATTATTATTATTATTATTATTATTATTATTATTTATCTTCTAGCTTCTTGGTCTTTAAAAATTTAAATGTAATGTCAGGTGTCATTTTTTATCTCCTTCAATTCTGTTCTTTTATTGTCTTCTCCCTTAACAATGTTATTCTCAGGCTCTTTCACTCTCAGTAGCCCCTCGAATCTTAGTGCCTTTATCGCCTTGCTTGGGGTGAAATGATTTAAAAAAAAATGCTTCTTTTCATTAAAAATTCTAAAGCCGTCCACATTTCAACATGTGGAGGCGTTCTAATATGATTCATACAATTTCAAATTCGTTACTTAGTTGTTGAGATATTTTCTTCTTCAACAATACGAAAAAGTTAAATCCTTTTTAGCGATAATAACAATAATATTAATAATAATTATTATTATCAGTTCTGGGATCTATAATTGTATAAAAATTCAAACTTCTTGATATCTGCTTCTCAAAAATGTCAGACTAGCTTCGGTGAACAATCTTTTGATAAGATGACATCTTTTTTTATGAATGATTCTTTTTGGGAGGGGGTATATTTCAGACGCCTAGTTAATGTCTCATTTTATACAAAAAATATTGTATTTCATTCATTTAAGCAGTATTGGTACAATAGATTGGATTGCTCAGATAAATTGTAAATCACTAGATTTTGATATCAAAAAACTAAAATTATTCCTTTCCTTTTCTAATAAAGTAGTAACTTTATCAAAACTGCAAAACTTCTCCACTAAAGTAAGTAGTCGTGAACAGAAAATATCCTGTCTTTAAAATGCCCTATGTGAGGATCGTGATAATTGACAATGTATTTAAAACGCATCATCTATTATTTACAATAATAATAATAATAATAATAATAATAAAACTTATCTTACACATATCAAAGGGAGTTAGCGTATGATTCATGATTTTTTATTTTATTGATGCATTTCTTTTTACACAAAAGCGCGCAATAAAATGCTGGAGGAGAGTTAAAATCGAAAATTCAATTTGATATTTTTGATAATCATTATCTCACCGAGCGCTTTCATAAAAAGTGTTTTTGGTGTATAATGATGTCTCAGTTTGTTTGGCCATATTCATTTCAAAGTAGACCTTGTTTTTTTATGAACAAAACACACAATGTTTTTAATTAAATATTTTTGTTTAAAACATGACCAATAATCAAACGTTTGAACTTTGAAGAAATGAGTGTGGCTCATCCATTTCTTTGCTGCTCAAAGATTTCAAAGAAGTTATTTTGTATTCATAATTTCTACAGACAGTGACCGTAATTTTTTTTATCAACAGTAACTTACTGTTAGTGTTAGAAAATTTGTAACGATGAATGCTTTTTCATGGTTTATTAATGAAATTATTAGTAATTATACTAGGGTAAATTTAAGTGCTCATTTATCAGCTGACGAAACAGTCTACCCTCAACATTTTAATAGCAAGTTGCTTTCTAGTAGGTGTAATTATACTTTATTTTAGAATTTTCAAAATTTTCTAATTATTTGCATCGAAATTGAATATAATTGCAAAAAAGTTGAAAAAGCATTTTACATTTCGCAAAAAAAGGAACTTCCAAAATAAAATAGAATAAAATAAAACTATTTGTGTCTAAAATTGTATTTTTATTTAGTTTTTCTGCTTTTTCATATGCATTTAATAATAATTTTCTAAAAATTATCACATAGAGAAAGTAATTTCAATAAACACACTTTACACGTGCACATGCCTCCACCAATCGTTACGCGCGCGCGCGCGTGTGTGTAACAGCGCGCATACACACACACACATACACACACAGTACAGAATATACATTTTCACTTTATAAATATTTTAACGGAAAGCGAGAAAATAAACTATTTAAAAGAAAATACAACATATCTCTGCAAGCATTTATTTATATATTTATTCTTATGCCTCTACTCTAAAAGTAGACGCCCGTATTAAGAAAAAGTCAATGGACTTACTTACTTAACTAACGAAAAAATACTGCAGCATTATTTTCCTTACTTACATCCTCAATGTTTTTTTTAAAGCAAACATTCACATGTCAACACGCTTGAATAAGCTTTATTCATCTTTATTAAATATTTCTTTATACAGTCAATTTTCATTAACAGTTATTGATATTAGATTAGTAAAAAAAAATCAAAATCATATGCCGTTTGCTATGGTAAACTTTTTAGCACCATAGAAGCTAAAGTTAGTGAAATAAGTTTCTGCAAGAAGAAAATAATCTTTCCCTCGAAATGAAATGTAAAATGCATATTTTCACTTTTCTTGTACATAGTTTTTATTTTTATTTGAATCAACGAACAATTTTTCAGCTTTTGACAAATGTTAAATTGAATGCATTTAATTCCCGATCAACCATGGAATTATAATTTTTACGGAATGTTTATAGCAACAGCTTGTCAAAATATTGATAGGCGATTTTTTCAATAGTTATACTCACTGTTAGTCTTAGGCTGTTTTGTGTGAAGTAAGAATGGTATGTTTGCATGAGTAAGGTAATGATTATGACAATATTTACAACTCCTCAACAAAAATAATAACCCACAACAACCTCGTTTGTACTTTTAGAAGTGAAACCAATGTGTTTGTTCAGTAACCATGAAGGTGTAAAATTACGTTTGCAGACAAATAGCATCTACAAATATTTTAAGTTGTGCTGTTCCTTCTGTTCCAATAATACTAACAATAATAAAATTATGAGAACTAGGGAGTTGCAACAAATCAGACATATTTTTTTAAACAAAAAATGGCTTTTATATTTTCGATAATGTGAAAGGCATTTAAAGATAGAACAAATAAATCAAATAAAATTACATTTAATTAATACATAAAAAATGTGATAGTGTTAGTGAAAGTAATGAAGTGGGGTCAACCGGTAATTCAAATATGGTTCTTCACTTACCGTTTTGCCCATAAGCAAGATGACCAATCCTGATGGCTCGGATAGACATGATAGATTTAAAATGTTCTTTATGTATTGTGAGGTCCAGTAGACGTTCTTTTTTTTTTTTTTTTTTGTATTTACGTCCACTTCTTAATTATGAAAATTTTAATATTATTTAACATTCATCAAAAATGTTTTCTTGTATATAATAATAATAATAATAATAATAAACAAAAGAAAAAAGGTACAAAAACAAAATTGTTAATTATACATCGAGGAAATAACAGTATTGTTCATAAGTAGAAGTAATCTTGAAAAAGAAAGAAGAGCAAAGGGAAACTTGGCGATAAAACACAAGGTGGAAAATCAGCGAAATTATTAATTCTTTCTCCAGTTGTAAAATCCAAATGACATTTTAAGCAACTTCAAAGGTCTCCTCGAAAATTGTGACGTATATTCATCATATATAATTTCAATAATAGCTACTCACTATTGCAAGGATTTGCAAGAATAAATATTGTCTTCGTAGCCGTACTTGTAACGTAGGAGTAATAGCAAAGCAGTTGTTATAGCAGTCAAAGTAACGACTAAACCAATAATTCTAGAGTACATTTGCCAGATTAAATAATCTATAGTTTTATTTTACTTTTACACCACCCCGCAATACCATTCATTTTTCGATAGACTGTCTTCATATGTCCAGCCATCCTGTTTTCAATTCATCTTTCTATTATTCAAACAGTAACAACTTCATTTGTACTTTTTTTGACACCACTCACTGTAATATTGGCGTCTGCTTTTCATTACTACTGTAGTGTACTGCTAAAACTACAATTACTGATTTCATTACTATTACTACTACAGCCGCACTGGCTATTCCTACCGCCGTCTCCCTTCCCACACATCTTCACAATAAACAGCACTGCTAACTACTCCCAATTGCTCATTTTGTACCTACACAATTAAGCTGCAAACAGAAACTATTTGTTTTAAAAGCACAAATTTCTAAGAGCATTTTTTCAAACAAAATAAAACAGATAAATTAATGAAGAAAATGATTAACAAAGATATGATTCATTTTCTGTAAACTGCATTTCACATATGTGTGTGCGTGTATTTAAAAAGTCATGTAAAATCGCCGTGTTCCGACGTCTTGATCATCAGCATTGTGTTTTTGTTATTCCTACTACTTTTTTACAACTTGATTTACACACTAGTTTAGCTATTTTCCTAATTTATCAGTGATACAACCAAACTGAGTTTATCTTGAAAAAGAAAATTCAATTCTGTCTAACAGAAGTGATTTTATAATCAGTTAGACAGAAATAAAGAAAGCAAGATGCACATTTTATTTTAAGGCACGAATAAAATATATGTTAATAATCGTATTCAAATGAGCTTCCCCTTCAACCAAGATCGCAACTGTAATTGAGAGATTGTTATTGACATTCATTATGCCGAAAGTTACTGAGTATAATGAGAACTGGAAGTTTATGAAACACCATTCAACTCAAGTGGGTTATCAATGCGTTTACGTAAATTTGAAAACCGCTTGGTTACACTTACAGGTGAATGAATACATTATGTACTACTACTACTACTACTACTGACCATCATGGCGTGCCACGATTGTAAATGAAGCGATTTTTACACAAGTGATATAGTTGCTGGTTCGAATCAGCAATGCTCCATTTCTTTGGGATTTATTTACTTATGTATGTTAAAAAAATCCAATTATTTGCGAATTTATTTGTAAAATTATTAGAAAAAAATGATTGAAAGTTTTATCAGCAATAAACAGACATCTGCATTTTTCTTCTAATTCCGGCTCATTAGCATTGACTGATTTAGACGCTGATAGAGAAAATATAACATTGTATTTTGAATATTATTCTGGTAGGCATAGACGATGATGATGGTACAAATGACATCAGCATTTCCAACTGATTTATTGGTAAATAATTAACATTAATAATGCAGTAAGAGTTAAACTTTCAAACTGAATGACTTTCAATCGCAATTGTATTAAAAAAGTATTTTCTCCTTTTTCTAGCTGTAATGACTGATGAAAAAAATATATATATATATATATATATATATATATATATATATATATATATATATATATATATATATATATGTTTCTAAATCCAGATCTTCTTTTGATTTATGTTACAACCCAAGACTAAACTAAAATTCTGTCAACTGCGTATAGGCCCCGCATATAGCTTCCGTTTTTACTCACACACTCAAAGAAAAAAATAAGCAATGCAATACAGAATTTCCCAATAACACTCACTCCTGCCTAAAGAAACAAAATTAAAATCGGAATCCATTTGAACCTACGAAATGACATAAAAACCATCAAAGTGACATTTTCGCCAATTGGACAACATCATAGCTCGGGTTCACAAACTTTGTCCGAAAGTGACCTGCCATTTCCAAGAGACCGTCGCCCCAATAAGTCACAACTCACCCTCACTCTCCTACAGTACGCCTCTGCGGACGCCTTTTGCAACTCCACTTATCTCCTTCCTTCAACGATTTTTCATTTGTTGTATTTTACGTTAATACAATTCTTTATTTCTTTAAACCTTCCTTGTTTCTTCTTTGTTCTTCCACCATACGCTTAATATAGCAACCGGTGTCAAAAACATGCGGCCGGAACAAGAAGATGGACTACAGCGCATTTACTCGCCACGAAATGCTATAACTAATCAAACAGCAATGAGCAACCATTCTCAAATTGAAAACAGACCCGAAATTCACAAACAAGCATCAAGCCAGAAACACTGACTTCAGACAAAACTACAGGAAATGCTGACTGCTCTCTGCCTCCGTCGGGATCGTGTACACGTTCCAGACCTCAACAGAATACGAACTGCTCATACGATTACAGTCCTTACATGATGCTATGCGCGACGTAAAACGTTTGTTTCCATCCAGGTAACAACATCAATCGGCTCATAACCGATTTGAACAAGGCATACACAATCCACTTAAAACTCGAGCTCGCACATTATACGAGGATGGGAACCGAATTTATTAAAATCGCTAGGCAACATCTCGACGAGGGCATATTCCAACAGATGGAGGATTCGCAATAGACCACGCTCTCGTACGATCAGTTGAGGGCCTATCTGCTAAGAACCCACGGAAGTAAATGACGAACTTTCAGCACCTCAGCCGAGTGTGGGAGCTGCAATGGGGTGACGGCGAAAAGATCACCGAATTTTCAGGCCGGCTCGAGACCACGACCAGAGAAGAAGTTTCAGATGGACAACAGCAACTACGGAATAAGCGCCGACACCGTTTTTTCTCTCACGGGCGTGATGCTCATGAGTGAACAAAAGTTAATGCCTGGGCTCCGAACATATACTCCCACGTCTTAAAGACAGCCATAACTCGGCGGGTGGTATAGCAAGCGACGCCTAACGTTACCTCGACCACGGTATAAAAGCTGACGTTATCTCCAACCTGGCCGCAGACATAATGTACGCGCAAAAACAGCGACCACATACGCAAGCGAATCAAGGTGTTCATCAGGATCTTGCCGACTTGAAGCGTGAAATACAACAGATACACCAACGGATAAATCACCCAGTAATGCATGATCAGAACATCTCTGCGAGATTGTAGCACAAAGGCAATAACACGAGACGAACCCAGAAACGCACGCCCATAAACAACTCCAATAACAAAGTCAACGACGACCGGAAGAGATGTGATGGCTCAGTCCCCGGTCTAGAACATTAATAAACACCATCACCTCTTCAACTTCCAGCAACTGGCGCCGATCTCTTTTCACAAAAATAGGCATCACTATCGGCGACTTCACCTTCTCGGAGATAGGCATGCTAGACTCAGGGTGCATCACTTACGTCATACCTATCTCCTGCCCACCTGAGCAAGCAAGAAAACACATACAAACATCAATCACACGCATACATCGAGTCGACGAAATAATCGGTTGATATCACTGTGGGCGACGTCAGCTCACTCACATTTCAGAATATGAATATACTGGTTTACTAATGCCACTATGCCAATTCTTGTCGTTTTATGTCACGGCATGCTAACATTATACACCATAAACAATCGAGACTTTACAGTCGAATTCCACCGAGCCTTGCCATCGTGTGACGTAACTCATACAGCATCTCTGATCTCAGTCGCTAACCCGGAAACGGCTCACACACCTGAGTATTGAGTCCAACCAGTCAGTTGGCGAGTGAAACAAATACTTTTCATCCTCGATCTCCGCAACGGATACTGGCAAATCCTCATCAATGCTATAAAATTGCATTCACCTGGAATTACCAATATACCCGTTTAGCCTTCGGTCAAACATCTACTGGTCAAATCTTTTCTCCATGCATAACCGAAGCACTGACCAGCATCATTTCACGGGAGAATATCTTGTCATACATTGACGACAACCTCGTCCACGTCCAAACATTTTATGACTACATCACCGTGCTGGAACAGCTATTCATCGCTCTTCAAAAATTCGAGCTGAAACTCAACTCACAAAAGTGCACCTTTCACGCTTCAAAAGCCAAATTTCTCGGTCGCTTTGTCGACAGCAAAGGGTTCAGACCGGACACAACCCAGAACACATTCGTGTTATTGTCGAGATGTAGCCACCCACAAAAAAGGAGCTGCAAAGTCTCATAGGACGTCTCGTCTGGATACGCCAATTTCTGGAGACTTGCTTTTACGAACGAATCAGGACGGTTACATTTTTCCATTTAATGGTCCCAAATTTGACAACTTTTTGCGCAACCGTCCTTTCATTATTTTCACTGACACATATCGACCCGCGTGAATTCAATAACGTAAAAATTCAACGATGGCAGGAAGAAATATTCACTTATGAACTCGTCCTAGAATACATGGAGAGCGACTCGAACGTTTGGGCCGACATGCTCAGCAGATGGGACGGCTTAAAGAAGACCAACCAAAACATTCAGATTTTAGAACTCCGATCTTCACATTTACGTCCCGTTGTGGTGTTTCGGAGAAATCAAGGATACACAATTTCTCCCTGCGCTACACACGCCACAG